AGCTTCTAAAGTTAGCGTGTGTTCGTCCTGGTCTCAGAGTTTTTATGTTTTGAGCTTACAGGAGCTTATTCTGGTTATAGTGCTGAGTAGAAAGGGGGAGGAAATGGGGTCAATAGCTCCCGAACGCATCCTAGTGGTCTCGGGGTCAACGGCCCTTCCTGATCCCTAATGCTCAGTGGGCCTCCATGGCCGCCTCCCAACAGCAACCCACTCACCTTGGCCTCCCAAAGTGCTGGGATTAAAGGCTAAGTCACTGAGCCCAGCCTAAACAGGAACATTTTATTTTTAATTAATTAATTTATTTATTTGAGTTGGAGTCTCACTCTGTTGCCCAGACTGGAGTGCAATGGCACGCTCCCAGCACCGCAGCCTCGACCTGCTGGGCTCTGGCGATCCTTCAGCCTCAGCCTTTCAAGTAGCCAGAACTACAGGCACGCTACCACGCCTGGCTAGTTTTTGCTTTATTGTAGAGATGAGGTCTCACCAAGTTGCCCAGGCAGGTCTTGAACCCATGGGCTCAGGCAATTCAGGGAACATTTTAAATGAGCAACAGGTTTATAACCATCCAAACACTCTCCTAGAAGCCAATCTTTGTACCAGAGTTGGCTACCCTGCTAAGAAGTCCCCTAGCATGCTGTACTAACTGCTCCTTCCAATCTTAACTTTCAAATTATAATTTCCTATTTGCTCTGCATTCTCAGTGAGATGTTAAGCTCACTAATGATAAAATCTAAAATTTTGTATCCCCAGCATGTGGCCCAGTGCTTGGTGAAAGATGGATGAGCACTCACTATTTGTTGAATGAACAGGCAACATTCAATCAGTAAACAGCTACGAGGAAGACACAGATTCTGAACTGCATTCTGTCACAGCTTCATTCTTCCATGGATTAGGTTTGTCTAATTAAATCAGTGACACACTGTAGATCAGACAGTTCTCTCAGGGGCCACCGAACTCCCTTCTCTAGAAGGGGAAGCTCTGCAAATACATCTAAATAATTCCTTGAACAGGTTAGCACACCAAGCAGAGGAGGATGGCTGATACAACTAAAGCAGTTATCACTCACAGGGAATCTGGATTGGTTAAGATTCTTAACTGCAGGCAACAGAACGCAACCCGATCAGTTTAAGAGAAGGATTTATTAAGGGATAAAAACAGCTTACAGAATCACTGGGTGAGCTCAAGAAACAGACTGCAGCCCAAAGTTCCAGGAACAACTCCCAAAAACATGTCGCAGAACTGGACTGCCAAGGGAGTTGCTACCTCTGGGATGGATCATGAAGCCATCAAATAAAAGCCCCAGCCAAATCAGGAAGCTGACACTATAGCTGCCAAGTCCAGAACTATATCTCCCTTGTCAAAATGTGTGCCACCAAAATGGATAGGCCTGCTACCCATAGAACGTGCCCTGCTTCTCTGCCTGTGACTAAAGCAGTCTTGTGCAAGTGCCTCCTCCTGGGCAAGTGCCTCCCCCTGGGCACACCTAAATCTCATCAGGGGGACACAGCTGCAGTCCTTACAAGAGTCTGGGAAAAGTACGTTTTGGCTTTCTAGTCTCTTCAGATCAGAGGGGAACTGAGATGGGTGTGGAGACAGCCAAGCCAGAGTCCATCCCTCAGAGAGCATGGCTCTCCAAAGCTCTAGCAGGAGGAATTCTCAGAACACTCACTGAAAGAATTCAATACTCTAATGCAGCAGGTTAAATCACCTGAGAGTCCCATTAAACTCAGATCCTAACACAGCAGGTCTGAATTGGAGTCTGAGATTTTCCATTTCGAACAAGCTGCTGGTCAATGCTGATGTTACTGGTCTACCTACCACTCCGAGTTGCAAAAGCTTAAACCAGGAAAACAGCCAGGCCTGTTTGCTTATGTATTGTACTGTATTGTATTGCCTATGACTACTTTTGCCCTACAATGGCAGAATTAAGCAGCTGTAACAGAGACTGTATGACCTGCATGATAAATGTCCCACTCTAAAAGTATATAATATCTCTTCATTATTTTACATTACAGAATAAACAAATATTGGCATATTCCAATATAAATTTTTTTTTTGAGTTGGAGTCTCGCTCTGTTACCCAGGCTGGAGTGCAGTGGCTGCTCCCGGCCACTGCATTCTCGACCTGCTGGGCTCCGGCGATCCTTCCGCCTCAGACTTCCAAGTAGCTGGAACTACAGGTTTGATTTATTGTAGAGATGAGGTCTCACCAAGTCGCCCAGACGGGTCTCGAACCTGTGGGCTCAGGCAATCCACTTACCTCAGCCTCCCAAGGCACGGGATTACAGGCTGAGCCACCGAGCCCAGCCCAATATAAATTTAATTTCTTTTCCTTTTTTTGAGAGACAGCATCTTGCTCTGCTGCCTAGGCTGGAGTGTACTGGAACGGTCACAGCTCACTGCAGACTCTAACTCCTGGACTCAAGCTATCCTCCCACCTCAGTCTCTAGAGTAGCTTAGGCCTACCACTAGCTACCACCTCCAGGCATGCATACCACCATGCCTAGCTAAGTTAAAAAAATTTTTTTTTGTAGATACAGTGTCTTGCTATGTTGCCTAGGCTGGTCTCCCACTCCTGGCCTCATGCTATCTTCCTGCTTCAGACTCCCAAAGTGCTGGGATTATAGGCATGAGCCACCGCACCTGGTCTTAAGTTAAATTTCTAACAAAATAAACTCTAAAGATTTTAACTTGGGCGGTCTTGGTGGCTCAGCCTGTAATCCTAGCACTTTGGGAGGCTGAGGCGAATGGATTGCCTAAGCCTGTGGGTTTGAGACCAGCTCAGGAAACTTGGTGAGACCTTGACCTACAATAAATCAAAAATTACCTGGGCGTGGTAGCATGTACCCGTAGTTCTGGCTACTTGGAAGGCTGAGGCGGAAGGATCGTCCGAACTCAGCAGGTTGACACTAGGGTGGCCGTGAATATGCTAGTGGAATCCAGCCTGGGTAACAGAGTGAGACTCCAACTCAAAAAAATAAAAAAAGATTTTATCTTCTCCTATTGGCCATGCTTTTAAATTGCGCTAAACGCTAAGAGGCTTCTGAAAGTCAAATTCTAGAGGGTGGAGGTTCTAGTAGTTTTAACATGGAATTGTCATTCCCTTTGCCAGAAACAAGTTTAAGCACAGGCACGTGAAGCAAACAGGAACACCAGACATCGAGAGTCTGCCAGGGAAACTTCTGGGGAAAGCATCTTTTTTCCCAAATAAAAAGAGACCCATGAGGTAAAACTGTGTCTCCTACATCGGAAGAGGATGTGTGAGGACAGAGCTGTGATAGCCACCCTGTGACAACAAGACTGAGAACAAAAGCCAATGTATTAAGGAAGAAGAAACAGAAAGATGGGAAGCACCTGGGATAATAGCTGAATTGGCCAACCTGGGACTTTTTGTTAGGTGATAGAATAAAACTGGTAATGAACAATAAGGGGCATATTATTATTTTCAGCTGCATACATCCTGAGAGGGCAGTATATAATTTACGAAGGATATTCAGGCTCATGTTCTTATTTGTGCCTCACACTTCTCTCCCCTTCCCTCCATGATGGAGTAAACAGCAAGACACTCAAATGGGGAACCAAGGTTCAGGGAGTTTAAAGTTACCTTCTCATAGGTCACACAGCTATTAACTGACAGTATCAGAAACCAGCTTTCCCAATGTCAATGTTCTTTTCATCAGATCCCCCCTTGAATCCATTTGGTTCTACCCAGGTTAGTCTCCTCACCATTCACTGTGAGAATGCCTTCTCACATCCACTCTAACAAAGTTTCTCTCTTCCTATATGTTGATAATTTCCATTTTGGGTATTTCTTCAGAATGTGCATTGTTCCATTTATTGCAGAAACATGTTTTTGTTCATCTAGCTGTGTACTAGCCACAGAAAGGGATGATTTTAAAGGGGAAGCATGATTTCTGCCCCAAGTTTGCAACCTAGTTATGGATACTAGATACATAATAAAACGAGAGTGACATAAACCACTGTAAGTCTACAGGAGTTCAGAGTGAGGAAATAATAATTCCTTGGTTATTCCAAGGGTAAGATTAGTCTAAGAGTACTTCAGCAAGAGCTGAAACCAAAAGAAGTATAGAAATTAGACTTGTTCTTATGCTATTTTATATGTTCTCAGAATCAGTCTTAAATCTCCTCTAGAACAAAGAAATGGATTTTAGAAGCACTACCTATATGGCCAGGGCAAGTAAACTGGGCAATAACACAACATCAAGCAGGGTATTTCTTCAGAATCTGCATTGTTCCATCTATCACAGAAGGACTCACTTACGAGTCCGAAATGAGATTACATAAGCAGAGTATGGTGTCACCACACGAGGTTACGGAGAAGCATTAGCTCCTTCCTTCTGGTTTTGAATTGCAAACTGTTTCTCAGTTTTCCCTCACACGGTAAACTCTTGAAATAAGAGAACTAAGGGTTCACAACTTTACTTCTGACTGTTTATTCTGGAGTATCTAGTAAGATATGATGGTCCAGGAACTCATGTATGTTGAACATCATAGGACTAAATAAAAAAGATACTAATTCTCAAGTTGCATCAACAACAGCTTCTGGCTAACAGAATTGTTGCTTTGGCCACAGTTCCACGGCTAGGACCCAGGAAGCACAGGCGAACAAGGGCCTCCTCCAAAGGTTAACAAAAATGAGCTAGTTACACTAGCATAGCCTGTTCCTCTTATTTCTTAGGGCTGAGGAACCATTTGGTTCTTGATCTTCTGTCATAAGTAGCAGAAGCAATGCTGGAAGAGACCCATGGCAAGTCACAAACGTCTGGTATAATCAGAAGGGTCGCTACTAGAGCCCTTTCCTGCAGAGAGGACCTGATAAACATTACCATGACACAACTCAATCACCCCTTTAACAAAGGAGGCACATCTATTAAATGCCATCTTTCGGTGACTCTATGTTCATTCAGTGAGTAGTGATCATACACAGGCCAAGTTCATAACTACAAGGTGCAGCTGTGCCCCCTCTTCTTGGTGCATACCTCCTCACAGACTTCACGGACTGCTGCCACACTCGGCTCCTCCTCAGGCTCCATGCCTCCTCCAGGGACAATCCATCGGTCTGGATGGCGACTACTGCTCACGAGTAGCACCTGAAGTCACACAGGTCACATGGGAGGTTACAAATTTTTAAAGTTTAACCACCACAAACAGCAAAGTAACTAAGACCCATTCCTTGTTTATACCTTTTCAAATCACTTCTTGTAAGGCAGTTTTCATTTCTGTTTGAAAAAGGAGATAGAGGCTGGGTGCAATGGCTCACACCTATAATCCCAGCACTTTGGGAGGCCAAGGTGAGAGGATTGCCTTGGCCCATGGGTTTGAGAATAGCCTGGGCAACGTGGTGAGACCTTGTCTCTACAATAAATACAAAAATTAGCCAGGCGTGGTGGCGTGTGCCTCTAGTTCCAGCTACTTGGAAGGCTGAGGCAGAAGGATCGCCTGAGCCCAACAGGTGGAGGCTGTGGTGGCTATAAATGTGCCACTGCACTCCAGCCTGGGCAACAGAGTGAGACTCCAACTCAAAAAAAAAAGGAAAGAAAAAGGAGATAGCCAAGTGTGGTGGTTCACGCCTGTAATCCTAGCACTTTGGGAGACAGGTGAGAAGACTGCCTGAGCCTGGGGGTTCAATAACAGCCTGGGCAACTTGGTGAGACCTCGTCTCTACAATAAATAAAAAAATTAGCCTGGCGTGGTGGCATTCATCTGTAGTTCCAGCTACTTGGAAGGGTGAGGTGGAAGGATCACCTGAGTCCAGCAGGTTGAGGCTGCGGTGGCCATGAGCGTGCCACTGCACTCTAGCTTGGGTGACAGAGTGAGACTTCAACTCAAAAAAGAAAAAGAAAAAAGAAAAAGAAAGAAAAAAGAGACAAAAAAGTAGACTGCCTAGTAAAAACAGAAGGGCTTCTTCTGAAGGCCATTATCTCTATCTACCCTCCCCTCAGACTCTCAGTCATTTGTCCTGTCTATCCCCTCCCTGTTTCTTTCTCTAAAACCCTTTAAACAAAGACCTGACAAAGGCTCAGGCATGTAATCCCAGTACTTTGGGAGGCGGAGGCAAGAGGACTGCCTGCCCAAGGGTCCAAGACCAGGCTGGGCAACTTGGTGAGACCCTGTCTCTACAATACATAACTTTAAAAAACTAGCCGGGCATGGTGGCATGTGCCTGTGGTTGGAAAGCTAAAGTGGAAGGTTGAGGCTGCAGTGGCCGTGAGTATGCCACTGCACTCCAGCCTGGGCAAGAAAGTGAGACTGCAACTGAAAAAAAAAAAAACAACCAAAATAAACACAAGGTGACAAAAAGACAAAAAATTGTCACAGCCTGTAAGCAATGAAAAGGCTGGCCAGAAGGCAAGAGACCCTTGGCCATGGTTGCCACCATGGTCCAATAGTTTCCCTCCAAGGTGGACTCCTGTGTGTACCAGTTTCTGCTCCATCAGATGGTCACAGACCAATACAACACACCATCCTAGGCTCTAAGTGTATACCAAGAATCCAACTCTCTAGTTTACATGAGAAGTATAAACATTCCTTTCATTATGCTTTAATCAGCTAGGATAAAACTGAAAAACTTTTTGCTAGAAAATTTTATAAAGAAATAGAAAACCGGCCACTGCCTTGTTAGATTGTGGTGTGGCCATGTGCTCTTTGAGCTATGGCTGTGACATGCTTCCTGGCTTTTGCCCCTTCCTCCACCTTGGGGAGGTCAATCCTCTCTCTCTCTAATTTACTTTTAAATAAACTATATTTTCTAATTAAAAAAAAAAAGAAATAGAAAACCAAACAAAAACACAAAACAATGAAACAGAATATTATTTTGCTAATTCAAACTTAACTAGCATTCTGGTCATGGTTAAAATAAAAATCTAGAATTTCCCTAGCTCCTTTCCCTGACTTACCCCTCTCTCTAGGAAAGATGCTAAACAAAGTCATCTGTACTCCATGTGGAGGTAGAGTTAGACTGGCATTATTTCCAAAATGAAAGGAACCCTTGACTACTTCCTAAACCCCTACTTTCTTTTGAATTGTGAGCCCCCATCACTATTCCAAACCATACCCCCCTGAGCACTTCATTTCTACTATGCAGTCATCCTTGCTGCCTAAAAGAAAGGCTACTTTCCTCTCTGGCCCTTACAGATGCCACCAATGCCTTCTGGTTACTGACCTGCCAGTCATCTCCTCTCTCCTTGAGGTCTCTGCAACTATGGACCCATGGAAATATTAGCTTTATCCTTAATCTCATTTTTCCGGTCGGGCATGGTGGTCAAATCTGTAATTTCAGCACTTTGGGAGGCTGAGGTGAAAGGATTGCCTGAGCTCACAGGTTCAAGAACGACCTGGGCAAAAAACTAGCCGGGCGTGGTAACACGCACCTCTAGTTGGGTTACTTGGAAGGCTGTAGGAGAGGGATCGCCTGAGCCTAGCAGGTCAACGCTGGGGTGGCCGTATGTCACTGTACTCCTGCCTAGGTGACAGAATAAAACCCCAACTCAAAAAAACAAAAATCTTATGTTTTCCTGTCATGACAGGTTTTTCTGATGTTCATCTACAAAACCTGTGACCTGTAGACTCAGAAGAGACCATGGAGTTATGGGAAGGAAACCTATGAATCCATCTCCAGTCACCAATATTCAGTCCATGGACTAGAAAAATGACTTATACTCACAAATACCAATGTTCATAGCAGCACTGGTCACAATAGTCAAAAGGCAGAAACAAGCCAAATGATCAACAATGAATCAGATTTTTTAAAAATATGGCATAAATATATAAGGGAGTAATAAGTGGCCATGAAAAGTAATGAATTACTGATACATGTTATGACATGAACAAACCTTGATAACACGACAAATGAAAACCAGACACAAAAAGTCATGAAATAGGAAATATGCAGAATAAGAAAATCCACAGAAACAGAAAGCAGATTGGTGGTTACCAGGGACTGGGGGAAGGGGAAAATGGGTAGCAACTGCATTAGTGGGTGCAAAGTTTTGTTTTGGGATAATGAAAGCTTCCAGAAAGAAGGTAAGAAGTGGTGGTTGCTATTAAGAGATTGGGGAGACAGCCCACAGAATGGGAAAAAATATTTACCAACTGTATATCTAACAAAGGTCTAACATCCAGGATCTACAAGGAACTCAAACGTGCCAAAAAGAAAACAACAAATAGCCCTATTAAAAGGTGGGCAAAAGATATGAACAGACACTTCTCAAAAGAAGACATACAAGCAGCCAATAGACATATGAAAAAATGCTCAGCCTCACTAATCATCAAAGAAATGGAAATCAAAATCACACTGAGATACCATCTAACTCTAGTCAGAATGGCCATCACTAATACCTCAAAATACAACAGATGCTGGAGAAGATATGAAGAAAAGAGAACACTTCTATACTGTTGGTGGGAGTGTAAACTAGTATAACCTCTGTGGAAAACAGTGTGGCAATTTCTAAAAGATCCAAAAATCAACCTTCCATACGACCCAGCAATCCCCCTTCTGGGAATACACCCAGAAGAGCTCAAATCATTCTACAAGAAAGATACCAAGCTGGGCTCGGTGGCTCAGCCTGAAATCCCGCGCCTTGGAAGGCTGAGATGAGTGGATTGCCTGAGTCCGCGGGTTCGAGACCCGCCTGGGCAACTTGGCGAGACCTCATCTCTACAATAAATAAAAAAATTAGCCGGGCGTGGTAGCGTGCGCCTGTAGTTCCAGCTACTTGGAAGGCTGAGGTGAAAGGCTGAGGCGGAAGGATCGCCGGAGCCCAGCAGGTCGAGGCTGCGGTGGCTGGGAGCGGCCACTGCACTCCAGTCTGGGCGACTGAGTGAGACTCCAACTCAAAAAAGCAAAAGATACCAGCATACACATGTTTATCACAGTAGCAAAAACGGAATCAAATATGCTGCCCATCAAAAGTGGACTGGATGAAGAAAATGTGGCACATATACACAATGGAATATTATGCAGTTATAAAGAAGGACAAAATTATCGACTTCACAGCAACTTAGGTGGATTTAGAGTCTATCATACTCAGTGAACTGCCACAGAAACAAAGAACTGAGTACCACAAGTTCTCACTCATAAGTGGACCCTGAACATTTGCTATAATGCTACACAAAAGGGATTGGCAGTAGTGGGTCACTGCTGGGGGGGGAGAAAAGCACATAACACTAATAAGGGTACCTGATCCCAAAGTGAGGATCTCAAAGTGAGGACCAATGGGAGGCCCAGATTTAACCTGTATGATGACCACTTATGCATCTAACACTGAATTGTATCCCAAATCTTAAAAAAAAAGGTATTAATTAACTTTTAAAAAAGTGATGGCTGCTAAATGTCAATAAATTGTTCACTTTAAAATGACTGTTATGTGAATTTCTTCTCAATATTTTAAAAACTAGTTTTAGGATCACAATAATTTCTTAAAAGCTAAGGGAGTCAGTGCTACTACCTTCTTTCCCAGAGTCTACATCCTAAAGGAGCAGCCTTTCCAAAGGTTATCCTTAATTTCGTATTACTAAATTATAAAACCATGATAATATACTATTCCCATGGGGGAAAAAAAAAAAAGAAACCACAGCTGAGCATGGTGGCTCATGCCTGTAATCCCTGCACTTTGGGAGGCTGAGGCAGGAGGATATCTTGAGTCCAGGAATTTGAGACCAGCCTATGCAACATAGTCAGACCTAGTCTCTACCAAAAAAAAAAAAAATCAAAACAGCCAGGCATGGTGGTACACATCTATGGTCCCAGCAACTCAGAGAGGCTGAGGAAAGAGGATTACCCGGCTCAGGAACTTGAGATTGTGGTTAGCCATGGTTATACCACTGCATTCCAGACTTGGTGACAGCGTGATACCCTGACTCAAAAAAAAAAAAAAGTAAAGAAACAAACAAACAAACAAACCGGGTACAGTGGCTCATGCCTGTAATCCCAGAACTTTGGGAGGTGGAGGCGTGAGGATTGCGGTGGCCGTGATTATACCACTGCACTCCAGCCTGGGCAACAGAATGAGACTCACAATAAACAAACAAACAAACAAATCCTTATCAAAAGAAAAATAACCCAAATAAATATATGCTTGTATGTTAATTC